CTGAAATGGAATAACTCAGAGCCGCTTGTCTCAAAATCCTTGCTCTAGAATTCTAGTAGAATGATAAAGTCAGATGACGGATTCCCATCATGCAGCTCTAACCATTACACTCAGGAGCTTATTACCAGCAGTAATGTTTGTGACTCCACATGAGAGACATCATCATCATTATCATATAAGAATGAAAGGTTGTTTGTAATCTTCCAAAAAGCATCTGATGAGGTAGGACCACTCTGTGCTTTAGTGAACACACCTGCCTGCACACTCTGTTCACCACTCATTCACAGAGTACTCCCAGAGGGACAGTTCAGGTGTCATGTATCTACATATGCAAAGCCAGGCTCAGTCATCTTCCTGAGGTCCTCGTTCTCTTAATTAGCAACAGAAGAAGCCTAATTTATACCAAACATTGAACATACACACCGCTGCAGTGAACCTCACTGCTTGCTGGGACCTAGCCATCGGGGTGTCAGCACAGAGCCCATGGCCACCAGAATGTGATTTAAAGTCTGTTTCAACCTTGCTTTCAGAGTCTAGCCCCAGTGCCAGGCACTGGGGTATGCCTGCCCTGAGGTTCAACCAAACAGCTTCACTCCAGTGAGTAAATCTGGTTAGAAACGGTGCTTCAAACCCAATTTGTGACAAGCAGCTCAACTTTACATTATTCCAATGTCAAATCAGAGACAAGTTGAGTACCGTGACATATCTGGACTGATGTGTCTACATAAAGTGAAAGTCTCAGCAAAAAACAAAAGAAGCCCCAAGGTAAAAATAGGCCTTGAAAAAAGGGGCCTTGGTTTGTGTTCCTGAGAGTTTCTCATAGATGGATGAAATATGTGACAAGAGACTGACATGTCATTTTGAAGGACCACCATACAGATGACAAAGTCATAATGTTGAATCCCTTTAAGCTAGAAACACAAGACATGAAAACAACCTCTCACCCCAACCATTCCACTATTCATTTGATAGTTTAATCAACCCATTCTGACTGAGGACACACAATACAGTATTCTTAGTATTTTACCTTTGAGTAAGGAATACCTCTTTTTTATATAGGCTTCCTTGTCTTCTATTAACAATTGTATTTTCTGCTTTAGAATCTCACACATTTTAGAGAGCTGCAACAAATAAAGGATTTTTTAAATCTGCTTAAGAGATAAGTTAACAGAGGCTCAAATATTTTGCAATTTGGCCAGGATCACACATACAGCTAGTGAGAGCCATAAGGAAAACCAACAAACAAATATAGCACAGTCAAAAAATTAACATAATCTCTGCAAAATTAATTTGAGGAATAGAAACACAGAAGAAAATCTAAAGGAGGGAACAAGCACCATGAGTATTAGCTGTAGCCAAAGAGTAATGGAAATATAAGTGGAAAATTGCAAATTCAAATAAATTAAAAGTTACAACTTCTGAAAACTTTAAATGACTTTAAAGTGAAAAAAAACCTATGTATTTAGGCAAAATTTGAGACAATAAGTAAGCTAATGATTAAAGTGTGAACCTTTTAAGGCCTGGGCTCTTACAGCTGTTTAAGTGAACAAGTAAATTTCTGCTGGGAATTGTCACATATGCTGAAATCTTCATTAATGTCAGCTATCTTACTGAAGTGTTATGCTCAGTTAATGCATGTATGCTTGATAAACAGGAGAGAGCATTCCTACAGAGGCAATCCTTGAACACAACTAACATGAGCCAATAAAAGTTCAGGAATAAAAAATCAAGAACTTTAGAACTGAGAAAATACCCATTTTCTATATTCATTATGTATCACTTGGGATATCAGTCCTGAATACAATGAATTCAGCAGATGCTTTGCACTCGATATTAGTGGTAGCAAGAATCTGCTTCAAAATTAGGCACGCCTAACAACTTCAAAAATTGCCTTAGTTTGTTGTCTTGGGTGTTTTAGCCCCCAGACCCCTTTGCTCTTTTCTAAAGAGTGAAATGACTGCATTTACATGGCTTGTAAAATGAAGAAAATTTTAAAATTCAGATTTCTACAATTAATTTTAAGTAACTCAGTATTTTTTTCCTCGTTTGTTTGGTTTTCTTTCCCAGTTAACTACAATTCTGTAAACTTACATATTTCTCCTCCCTTCAATGTCTTTCTTCCACTTATTTTTCCACTCTGTTCACTTTCTAATAAAAGCCCAAAGAAAGACTATTCTAATACTCCTAAAATGTCATGTTTCATAATACAAATCCACTACTAAAATTATTACCAGAGAAAGCTCTATCCCCCATACTTCTGGGCTAAAAGTTTTCAGTAGCAGATGAAATTAGGTTTTTATACTAATCCCCCCCAAAAATACGTTTCCCAAGAAGATACAATTTGTACAGGCAGAGTCTCTCAGGCCAAGGATGGACAAACAATTTCAAATCTCATTAATAAACAGCCAATATAAACTAATTGGCTTATATGTTCTACACCCTTTATTTAGGCACTTGACAACACCAGCTCAATCCATTCTTATTGGATTCAGGAACTGAAAATATGCTATTTTTGTTCATCAGACTCTTTGCCAACCCTATTTACCAAGGCAAATGCAGTAGGAGGAACATATTTTCCAATGGATGAGGAAAATGAAGTCTTCAAATTGTAATTGATCTTGCCTTTAGCGCAGAGTTTTGCCTGCTTTTGTGGCTGGCAGCCACAACAAAACCTCAAGCAACATATGCCCTGTGGAGTACTTGATATGTTCAATTTGGTAGCTGCTGTAAGCAGCTTCAGCAGTACAGGCTCTATATTAGAGCTCACACATCATTACATACAATCATTGAGATGACAAGGGCTTGCAGTGCCTGGATTTACTACAGTCACTATCCACTCTTGTTCCCTGAGTGACAGAAAGGGACCACTCGACATAAAACTGTTGCTGAATTACTCTTACAGTTGTTTCTCCTTATACTTTCAGAGCATGATAGCTGAACTTCAAAACAGTTACTTTTTTTTTTAACCATTGAGTAACTGGAGAAAAAGGAAAACAGCTCAATTTAGCAATAGCTGCGAGGGGACTGAGACAAAGCAAATAGCAGATCTTCTGGTAAGAGGGAAAAAAGCAAGTGCTGTGAACAGTTGGTTTGGTGAGAAAGCTGAAATATAAACATTGTGAAAGAGACATACGCAACGTGTTTATCAGAGTTAAATAGCTGCTAAACAGAACTAAAAATAATAATTGAAATGCAGAGACCCATTGCTTTTCAAAATAAACATCAGTGCAAAGCACTGCAATTATTAATTGCCATATGTCCTCGTTCAAATTCCTCAGACAGACTCTAACACCAACCTCCAGTTTCCACTGTCAAGCATGGGAGAAAGATGCTTCATAAAATCATCAGCTTTAGCACCTCATCAACGCCAGGCACAAGCAGCTGTCATGCTGGCCACTGAGGTCTAAAGGCTAATGTTACCAGCTGGGTCAAATCCTTCCAAGTGCCTGTCCCAAGGAAACCGAGGTTTTTCTATTAAAGGTAAACACAGCAAATTAAGAGTGACTTGACCCATAAGGGTTTTTTGAGCTTTGAACTGGCCAAGAGTTCACTGATTATTACTTTGTCTTCCTTTTAACCAGGTTCCCCAAAGGGGACTAATCAATATTTTGAAAATTGGCCTGGATTTTTTTCCTTTAAGTTCATGTCACATGACTTTCACCATTAGGTGTGCCCACCATACAAAGTTATGGAAAAAGTCCTTAGACTACAGAAGAGATTAAAAAAAAAATTTGAATTAATAACTGGATATATGAAAAAAAATTACCACATTCAATTTTCACCTTTTTGTTTTTTATTTGTAATATTGCTACTTTGGTTTTAGTACTGTGCTCCTGACACCACTGTATAAAGAATTAGCTTTACAGTTTTGCAACAGTTGGACTAGAGGCCAAGGGAGATATGTGAGACAAGAAGTTGGAGAATAACAACTGGGTGAGCAAGAAGGGAGGAGAACGAAGACTCAGGAAAGAACAACCTTAACAGCAGCATGGAACCTTCTTTTGCTCATCTGGAGACAGAGAAGGAGCAAAGGCTTGTTGCCATTCCTGACAAGATGCCATGGCAGCAGCATGTAGGATGGGCTGGAAAGCACTTTCCTCTCTCTCCAGCAGAGATGGGCTGAAGGCGCAAGCTGAATAGCAGACGCCATGGATCACGCTTGCAGCTCCATGAACTTAGGAGAAGCAATCCAACTAACAAACATAGCACACCTTGGCAGTAGGGTCACGAAGTCAGAAAAAAAGTCTTTCTCCTTGATTCTGATATGACACTATAAGCAAAGTTTACTCAAAATTATGAGTATCATGACAAGTATCATGATGAGTATCATGACAGAAGCAACTCAATTTCAGGAAGCCTACAAATCTAACTTGCTTTTCAGGTGGCTCTCTAATGGTCCTTCTAAGGAGTCAGCTCTCTTTGCCTGATGCTGTCTCGGTGTCACTGCCTGAAGGACAGTACAGGTACCTGGGTATGCTTCCAGACTATCCTCAGCCACGCTATCCCTAGGATACAGGGACGGTAGGGCATCAAGCCCTAACCAGGTGTGTCTACAGCCCGCTGGGCCTCACAACTGAGGCAGCACAACGTGCTTTGGAGCTCAAACTTAAAGCCTATGGCCACGATCTCTTTGCGTCTTCCTCCCCATGTGTAGCAAGAGGGCGGTGGGGACCTCCACCGAAGGGGTATGTGAACTCCCCGGGACTGCCCCAGCAGCGTGATGCCCCGCGGCAGGCGCGCTCCCCGCGGGGTCACAGCTGACCCCCAGCCCCGGGAGGGGAGGAGAAGAGAGGAGACCCGGCGCTGAGCGGGATGGTGCCGGGGCACAGGCCCGCGGTGTAGGGGGGCAGCCGTGCCGGGCACTCGAATTCGCCGCCCCAGCCCCGCCGCTGCCGGGACGCGCTCAGCGGCGGCCGCCCGCAACAAGTGCAGCCCCGCGGCCTGCGCGGGAGCCCCGCCGCGACCCCGGCCCGGGGGCAGGTGCGACTCCCGCCACTCACCCGCCCGTCTCCGCTCCCGAGTCCACGCAGTCGTCCTCGCCGCCGGGCTGTTTCTCCATGGCGGCGGCGGCACGGTGGAGAGGGCTCCAGCCCGCCCTCCCGCTGGGAGCGGCGGCTGCCGCGACCGCCTCTGCCGCCGCCGCTCGCCGAGTGTGAGAGGCAGCGCCCGCCGCCGCCACCGGCCGGCCCGCCCGGGACCCGGGGCCGCTCCTCCGGCCCGGCCTCCCCTTCCCCGCCCCGCTGCCACCGCCCTCCCGCCGCCCGCTCCGAGGGGAAGGCACCGCCCGCCTCGCTCGCTCCCCTCGAAGCACTCCCGGCCCGCAGAGAAGACCTTTCATCCACGCGTGGACACCGGGTTTAGAGGCTCGTATTTCAGAAACTACTTCAACACCTCCACTCTATCACTTTCGCGTTTCCAGCTGGAAGATGGGCTAAAGGCGCGGTGCCCCATATTCAGCGCAAGTTAAGAGAGTCTGTTGGGCGTATGGATGTCCTCACTATCCGTCCGGTTTTGGAACATTTCGCTGTTACAGCCTTTTAATTTGAAATCTTTCACTGTGCTGAGCTTTCTCCAGTCTCCCTCCTTCAGTGCTGCCTGGCACTTGCTCATTACATTGAATACAATAATTTTGAAATTACACACAAAACCGGGGAGGGGATGGTTTTCCAATCACAGAGTTTCTGTAACGGTGCAAAAGGAGCATTTTGAATGCTGCCTGTGAAGAAATGCTGATGTAGGACAGCTGACTGGTATTGTCAATAACATGAGAATGCAGGGAAAAGTTGTGGGTGAGCTCCCATATTCTGTTCATGTCGTACATGCCTGCTTGTTTTGTATTTGGAGATGAACACCTCTCTCCATCACTTGCATAAATACAAATATCCAACCATGTAAGTGTGAACCAAGATCTTGCTCAGCTAAAAAAAAAATAAATCAGTCTTCCCTTAATCCACTCATTCAGACTGTGGCAGATTTTACAAGAGGAGGTGGCAGAACTGATTTGTTACCTTGTCTCTCCAAGCTGGGATACCAGCTCTCTGTCTCTTCTGAATCAGCTTCTAGCACAAAACTGGCATGGGGTTCTCTGTGTTCCCTACAATCTAGATATTGTGGGATAATTAAATCTACCCCACAACTGGAAACCTCTTCCATTAATGTGTTGTGGAAAATGCTTTGATGAATTGGAATTTTCTCTTCAAAAATCTCTAACAACTATCAAATTTCTAGCAGCTGCAGGAGATGACCACTTGAAGAAAGTGATCGGAAGTAAAAAAAATGAATAAAAAGTTTTTGAATAAAAAGTTTCTTCTTCTACTTTTTATTATTTGTGTCTTACAAGAAGGAAGAAAACTAGTGAAAATCTCAACATTTAAGACATAAAATTGATCAGAATATAAAAATATACCACACAAAACAATCTTTTGTCGGCATAAGAAGTGCTAAACTGGTTCAGTTTGCTACCAGTACTTTTATATGTATCTCTACATTGCATGGCATTGATATCTCTCCCCTCATTTCAAGCTTGCCATTGACCTGTCAAGTTGTGTGTAGTAGCACAAATAGTGACATCTAGCATTGTTTAACAGCCTGGGTGTAGTTCATGCTACTGTTGTCTGTAACAGTGTATGGTCCCAGTTCTCTAAAATAATCTAGATATGAGAAGGACCATTGTGAAATCAAAGAAAAAGAAAACACCTTGGGAAGAGCTGTCAAGGTGTTGTGACCATATTATAGGAACAGCAAATGAGTACTAAACTCCAAAATGCTTTTTATGAAACTAGTGAATTCCCACTGCTTTATTAGGAGAGACACTGAACTCGTGTGCTGTCTTGTAGCCTCCCAGCATCACAGAAGGTCAGACCATTGTGTGTCTCCAGAGATCTTCAGAGGAAACTTTCAACCTCTACTGAAGTTCATGAAGATTTAGAAAAAAAATCATAACATAGGAAAGTTGGTATTTGATCTGTTTTGACTGTCTGGTTAGGTTTGCATGCATGTCATTTTGAAAGCAGATAAATGATTTCTCGTTTTATGTGGAGGATTTCACATTAACGTTCCCATAAATATAAAGCTTTAGGTATGGAATAAGACCCCTTAATTACAATTCCTCTTCCATCCCTCCCCCAGCAAGTTGTTAAATGCTAGTTTGGAGAGAAGACTATAATAGAGCTATACAGGCACCTACACAGTAATTCAGAACATACGGAAACAAACTCTTTTGTCCTTCATGAATGGTAAACTGCCATCAAGAACGATTTACTCACAAAATTAAATTCATACAATTTCTTTTAGGACTGCGACCAAAATGCCGTGCCTGTCTGGTACCCAGCTTGCTGGTATTTGAATAATCATATTCAAGTAGGAGACATTAATGTGTTTTCAGACCTAGTGTCATTAAGAGATTTCTCCAAGGCTAGAGAGAGGCAAAACTGAGACAACAATTCAGTATATTTTGATTCCCAGCTTGGGCCTCTATTTTGAGTAGACATTTTATTCTCCATCACTGCAATGGCCGTGGACGACTCTGAGCCCCCCAAAGAAGGTATGTGATAGTCTCTGTTACCAGAATTGGACAGACCTGGCTGTCTCTCTGATCCTTAGTCTACACACAAGCATTTATTTAGCTAGTGCAACTATGCTTAAGAACAGGTCACTTCCATTTGCTTTTAAGAGTGATTTCAAAGTGAAATAAACTGACTCTAGCCACCATTGAGCTGATTTAAGATGTAACCATACTTCCTTAAATATTTAGAAATAGGTTTAGTTAAATTGATACATTTCTGTATATAAAATTTTAGGTGGTCAGCTAATAGATCTTTTCCATCTCTGACTTTTATTATTCTAGTTAGTTATGTTTAAACACTGGCATATGAGGGGATCTGGAATAGATTTTTTGCTGCATTTAAGATTAATTTATTCCATCTGTCCCAGATAGGGAAAAAAGAAACATTCAAAGGAAATATATAATTAAGATAGTAAGTAAAGTTACCACAAAGTGTAGGTTCTCTTATTTATATATTTGCCCCATTTAACTCTGTTTTATTCTGGTCTTTCACATAATTATGGTGAAAAGGAGACTTCTCTGCATTAAATTCCAAGCATTTCAGAGATTTTAATGAATGAGTTGTTAAGTCCTGGCCTTTATTTAGGTTTTCTCTGTTACCTGTACTTCACATTAGGTCCTCTGTAGGGTTTCTTGAAAGAAAAAAAAGTTAAGTTTTAATTACTCTCCTATACTTATGAAGCTGTGATGTCAGTTTAAAGATAAAGATAATAATGAAAACATTTCTAGGTTAAATTTCTGCAAATTTCAAGCCTTTTATTTAGCAGCAGTGGTCACAAGAACTCAGACACAAAAGTATCAGGAGACATCTTCAAAGATGCCAAAAAAATAAAGCACTCTGTTGCCAAAACCAAATGCTGAGGACATGAAATTAATGTTAGTTCTGCAGACAGCTTTCTCATTCCTAGTTGCCGAGAGTCAGATCTAAAATAGGACTTAAGGCACTTAAAAGAGGATGTAAAGACAATTTTTATGACTGTGTTCAAATCTGCTTTGTGGTAAGTCCTACACAGTGCCTGATAAGGAGATATCTACCTTTCAGAGGAAACTTCCAACGTATCTGGTGCTGTATGCATAAATTGCACAAGGTTAACCATTTTAGCTTGTATCAGCAAAGTCAAGCATCGTCCAACTGCAACCTCCAGCTACTGTAATCTGTGTCCTTGCAGAAGCAAATACAGGCAACAGAACCTCCTCCTCATCCATCACATAATGGTCTCAGTAACCGAGAACACAGTGCAGGAGAGTGATATCTGCAGCCTCGAGCTGAAGAAAGGCTGATTGGAAAGCTGAAACATGAACCGCATCAGATCATACGTGGGCTAAAACAGAAGAGGAAGCAAAAGCATCCATTTCCCTGATGAATCCACACTTGGATTCAAATTTCAATACCTTTTCTGCTCCCTGAGTTCTATCTGCTGGGGTATCATCTTTCCTGCACCAGCCTGAAGATGGAATGTGAGTGAAAGAGTGTAGTAAGGTAGAGAGAGAGGAGAAAAATATTTCTCTTTTTGTGTAACTGAAATTCTGGTGATAAGGGCACTCTGTTGGGGAAAAAAGCACTGAATTCGGTTCTTTTCATGCAGCATTTGGGATCTCTCCCTTTTTCTGTGCAATTCCAAAAAGACGGGATAAATGCCACTGCAGTTCCTTCTGGCATCATGCTATAAATTAGAGATTCCTCTTAGTTTTGAGAGACAGACCAAGAATGTGGCTTATCAGAGGATTCAGTACCATAGACAAAGTCTATGGATGGGATTTTTCATTCCCAACTAAAACTTTTCAAACTGTGCTGTCTCCACCCTCTGTTACCTGACTCTGGAGGCAGAATCTCATCCCTGATAAAGGGTTCTAGATTCCATTCCTGGCACTTTTTAGCCTATTCTGGATGCTGCAGTAATGAACTTCCCAATTTACGGAATCCGGCATTTATAGAAAAGGTTTCTTCCTTTTATGGTCCCAGTGGAAATTAGCACTCTGCAGGTCAAGGCTTTGTTAACATTCACTACTGGACTTAAGACACTGGGTTGTGGTTTAAAAAACTTTAGACAATTGCAGTTTTGGAAGGAGGAAGAGAATTATGGCTTGACATGTGGTTCAGTCTTCATGCTAGGTCAGCCCTAGCAGCCCTGATTTTCAGACTGGTAAATGTTGCCAAAATATTTGTGGCAGTTCCTCACACAGACTGTTGGGTTGTTGGGATTTTGAAGGGTTATGATGAGGTCAGTTTCATTTGTGGTAGGTCTCAAGCCAGACACCCAACCTCCTAAAATTCTACAATTTTGAGGTAAAATACAACTATGCAATAATAAACTGTTTCTTCAAAACACTGAGACAAGAGTTTTCAGTGAAGCTTAAGGGAGCTTGGTTCCCACGTCCCACTCTTTTAAGTTTCGTTTTAAAACCATAGCATGCACGCTCCTACCAAAATTCATCGTACAGTACAGCAAGTATGCATTTTATAAGCATATTGCTCTTTTTTACTTGAATTCTAGCATATTAATATTTTTATGGAAAACTTTAGCACTCAGTAACAACTGCTATAAAACCTTGACTGTTTGGAATCCTTTTCTGTATCATCCTGAAGCCCA